GTGAGGCTCATGCTTCCTCTCCGTACTGATGGGTCGCTTTGGCACCCACCCATGGTTGGTAGTTTACTTGTTCCTAGTCCTATTAACTGGTGTGGTCGCGTTAGGTACTTGGGTCTCTATTGGGGCCCTGCGTCNCCGTTTGCGAGTTGTGTCAACGAACTTTTGGAAGCAGGGCGACGGGCTATGTTCGGTCTTAGTAATCGGTTGGATGAGAACAGGGTGTGGGCTCCTGCCGTTCGGCTTCAAGCGTTCGACACCCAGGTCCGTTCGGTTCTCTGTTATGGTGCTGAGGTCTGGGGTCCTGATAGGATTGTCTCCGTCCTGCGGTTAGGTAAAGGTGTTTTACCCGCTGGTAAGTCATATTTTGATTTGGCTTTGGAAGATGGTATGGTCCAGGTCCAGCGTGACTTCTGTTTACGTTGTGCTGGGCTCAAGCAGGTACCTTACAAGCTGTTGTACAGGGAGCTGTCTCAGTTGCCTTTGCAGTACTTTTGGTTACGCCTTGCGTTGTGTTTCTGGAATAAGATAGTCAAGTCCCGTGGGTCGGTCTATCATGACGTGTTAGTAGATGATCTCCGTCTGGCTCTTCTGTCTGATCTCAAAGTGGATTGCTGGTCGTCTAAAGTGCTCATCATTTTGCGTTGGTTGGGCCATGAGTGGCCGGCGTGTGACTCCGTTTCTCAGAAGGTAGATGTATACTCGTCTCAGTTGATTCGAGTGGGTGAGGTTCTGGAGAGGTTATCTGCGTTCCTTTTAAGTGACTGGGATCAGTTCAGCCAAGGGGGTGATCCGCGTGTGTTCCAAGGTAAAGGGGTTTCGCTTTGCAGGTATCATAACTGGATGGGCTCCCCTTCACCAGCAAGAGAGGGCTCCGATCCCACAGGCTATTTGCGTGTTTATTTGCCGGTCAACCAGTTGCGTATGGTTGCCAAATTCCGTCTTTGTTGTTGGCCTTTGGAGGTCAACAAAGGACACCATAGGCCGAGAGAGTGCCGTACGTGTCAGGTCTGTACGTCGGGTAAGGTTGAGGATGAATATCATGTGCTCATGGAGTGTGAGGCGTATACTGAGTTGCGTAATAGGTTTCTGATTAACGTTGAAGATACTGATATGCGCAAGGTATTTCTTAATACCAATCCGAGGAAAATCGCTACTTTCCTTACTGAGGTTTTTGATGAGCGTCAACAGCGTGCTCTGGAGCCTCACGGCTCGTGAGGGCACCCGCCGCGTCGGCGGCGGAAATACTGTAACCACAATACAATACAATACATGCAGTGTGGCACCGTACGGTGCCTTGTTGTGTTGACCTGCCACGGGCATGAGTATGGCCGAATGCCCCGTGGTTGTTCCCCGGGCAGCGGAAATCCGGGGGGGTATGGGGATTCCGGATGGGGGGAGGAGTGGGTGAGGTGGCGGCGTGCTTTTACGGTCTGCGCCGCGAGGTGGCGGTGGGTTGGGTTTCACTGAGGCGTGCGAGGTGACTGTGTGGTTGGCTGGACAGGCGCGTCTAGCCGTGTTTTTGGTGGCCACATACCGGTGTGGTCTGGTCTGGTGAAACACCCCGCAGCGCGCCCAGACGCGCCCGGAGGGTCACACGCGGGTTTCGCGACACGTGCTGGTTAGGGAACCCAGGCAGACGTATTTGTCGTACATACACACGTGTGTACGATATGTGTTTGTATGTACGCATGTGCGACGTGTGTTTATATGTACGTAATGAGTATTACATTACAAAAGTATTAGACGTAAGATATGCGAATATGTGCAGAATATGTACGGCGGGCGCCCCCCCCCCTGGACTGCACATACCCCCTTTCATGTTACTTACGTGGTTGCAGGTAGTCCTGCACGACAGCGCAACTGGGGAAAGAGTCCTGAGGTTGCAGGGGCACATGGATTGGATCAATGACGTGGCATTCGTACAGTTGCCGTACAAGAGTACTGGAACAGCTAGGAAAGCAATGGGCCAGACGGGCTTGCACAACGCCGTTGAAACCGCGATGCGCAGTGGGGACGGCGGCGGCGGCGGCGGCGGCGGTGCAGACGGAGGCGGCAATGATGACGTCAGCTGCTGTCCTCCTCCACCGCTTGCTTTTCCTCATCATCATCATCACCACCACCTGCAGCACCAGCAGCAGCACCACCAGCAGCACCAGCACCAGCAGCCGCATGAGGAGGAGGTGCTGTTGGTGGCCTCCGCGGGGTCTGACAGGACCCTCCGGCTCTGGGATGCCGTTACAGGTTGGGTGGTTGACAGTTGCTGGTTGGGGGGTACATTTGGCGAGAACAAATCAGGATCCCTCCCCCGCCCCCCAAACTCCCAACTCACACCCCCCACACACACACCTCGCAGGCGAGCAGCTGGCTTGCCTCCGCCAGCACCAGGCCCACCTTACCGCGGTGGCGGTCAGTCCTCCTCGCGGCAGCCAGGAGCCCCCTCACCCGGCGGTGATGATGGCATCGACGGACGAAGACGGAAAGGTGCGTGTGTCCGCGTGTTGAGTGGCATCCTACGTGTACGGTCAAGTCGGGCAGGCCCCCCCTTGCCCTCACTTGCCACGTGCCCTAAATGACCCCGACTCAGACGGCGCGCGTGGGGCGTCTCTATCTCTCCGCGTGCAGGTACTCTTGTGGCGGGTGCAGCAGGCGGAGGAGCTACCGGCGGCGGCGGAGGAGGAGGAGGAGGGTTTGGCGGCCACTCCTGTGCGCATTGCGGTGGCTGTAGAGGCGCTGCCGACCCATGGGTCGCATAGCCAGGCTGCCTTCTGCTGCGCCTTCTCGCCGGACGGCGGGGTACTGGCCAGTGGCGGCCGGGACGGCAGTGTACGGCTGTGGGACGTTCCGTCTGGCCAGCAGGTGTGCGTGTGTGTGTGTGTGTTTGGGGGGGAGGGGGAAAGAGGGGCTGGATGTCCGTTGGTTGCTGGCGGGATTGCTGGTTGGGGTAGGTGGTGCCCCTAGTCGCTCGTCACCCTGACACCGTCGAACACGATGATAAAAACCAACAGCAGGCCGCAGTCTGGCAGGTGGCCTGGTGTACGACGGGTGAGGAGGGCCTAACCCTTTTTCCCCCCCCCCACCCTGGCAGCACTCTTGCCCTGGAAGCAGCTTCACTCGTTCGTGGTTCGTCTTCCCCCCCATCCACCCCTCCCCCGCCTGTGCGTGTTTGTCCATACCGCCCGGAGTCATGATTTGTTGGTTGAAATCGTGTGTCTTCTGTGATTCTCGAGATGGTATGTGTTTTAATGTGTTGCGCTTGGGGGCCTGATGGGGGGGAGGAGGAGGGCCTAGATATGCGCCTAGGTGCGCACAACAACCAATCCGGCAGGCAAGCCAGGGATGATGCAGCGCAGCGCACGGCTCTGCCTTCACCGGCTGGTCACACACCACCACCAATCTCACCAATGTTCACCAGTGCTATCAAAACCCGCACACCACCGCCACTGCCACCGCCACTGCCGGCTGCAGGTCGCGGTAATCAACGCTGCCGCCTCCACCGCCGCCTCCACCGCCGCTTCCGTTGCGGATACTCGCCGCCCTCTGATGGTCAAATGCGTCTCCTTTACGGCCGACGGTGCATCGCTCCTGGTGGGGATGTCGAGCGGCGCCATTGGGCTGTGGCGCCGCAGTGACAGCGCGTCGCCGCCGCCGCCGCCGCCGCCACCGCAGCAGCTGCTACCTGCAGGATTGGCATCCCCAAAGCCACTGTCCTCTGCCCCTCCCGCCTCGAGCCCGGCCGCGACCCCGGCAACCCGGAACGAGCCGGACTCGGAGCGGGGCTTGGGACCGGGCGAGCCGTGGTCGCTTCAGTTAACGCTGCTCGGCCACACGTCTGACGTGGCTGCTTTAGCGACGGGACGAGCGTTGGACGATCGTACGGCGTACAGCACGGGCTTGGACAACACGGTGCGACTGGTGGGGGAGTGATGTGTACGACACTGTGACACTAATGACACGTGT